TATATATTGTGAGAAATCGGTTGCTTATTTAATCATAGTAACAAACTCTACTCTCGATTAACCAACGTTTATTTAAGAGTGGCGATTATAAAAGAAAAGTTTGGAAGGGGATATTTCGAATGTTCAATGTCAAATCTCGTCGGGTCACCGAAATAAAACACTTTTATTGAAGGTTGGTGGCGCAACTTATAGTACGAATGTTTATTTTGGTGAATGACGTAGGCCTAGTTAGCGAAAGAGTGGTCAATCACCTTTCTTTGTTTTGTATTTAATTTGTGATAGATAACGCACTTCTTTTCAGTTTCTACTATACTTGACAAATGGCTGACCAACTGAAGTCATCAGACGACCATGAAGGAACTGAAAAAGATTCATTATTTTCCCGTTCAGCGCTTCGATCTGCCCCAGGCCAAGGCCAGGCCTCCAGCTCTAGCCGGGGTACGGGAGATAATCATCTTACGCCAGCGTATCCTTCGTTCGATATACCAAGGTATTCAGAAGCGTGGGCCTAGGATCTAGCCTAGGCCTGACTGTGGCGTAACAAAGAAGTCTGAGGCCCTTGCGTAAGGCCTCTTCTGACCCTACCTGCTATCTTGGGGTCCCATAGGCCTATTATAACATTTTAGTAAAATATACTACCCAACCCAATGTTGAATGGTATTTCGTGAAAGAGGGGGAAAATTATATATCAGTCTAGGCCTATGTGTAGCTAGCAAGTCACATACAAATTACAAGTTTTCTAATCTTTGTTTATGAGGGCTTAGACCACTAGGCTAGCTTCGAGCCAGTACAAAGTTAACTTAGAGGAGCCATTACCAGAATGAAAAGGGAGGCGTGGTTCCTAAATTTCTAATAAGGTCTTAACTTAAAAACCACTTGAAATTTGGCTGAAATGTTGGATTCTTTTTAGTTAGACATATGAAAGTATTTTAAGATTTTAAAGAAATGAAAATCCAAGGGGGTTTTGAGATAGCATAACCCACTTTAGGCCAAGTAAAAAAATTAAATCTTCTCCCCTCGCATATCCATTTTCTCAGCCTCGCCAATTTTTTTTTTTTTTTTTGTCTTATTACGAAAGGCACGAAAATTTGGCTAACTCACATCAGAAAAATTTCTCTCTCGATCATTTGTGGTTGGGGATACATGGTATTAATCATGTCTAGTGCTTTGCTTTCAATGTGTCTACTAGGTAAAAGTGGGAAAGTACAGTAGTAACTGTTTCCCATCGACCATCTTGAATTTGCCATCTCGGAGTAAAAAAAAAAAGTGCCTTCATTCTTATTTTTTTTTAAATATTGGATGAGAAACTGCTTTTTTTTTTTAATTGGCCTTATTAATCAGGCTGTTATTAACATGTACACAATCACTCAGGCATAGGATACTTAATTTTAATATCCTTTTCCATAGCATTAAGTTCATAAATAACTGTAATGTACCGTACACCATTCTCAATGTTTTTTTATAAATGGAAAAGTATTCACCGAATGTTGTATTTTTCTTGTAGCATCTTGCAGGGTATCGATAGGAATCTACATAGCTATGATATGTCACATGCCAAACGCGGAAAAGCGGTCATCTTCAACCATGAGGATTTCCACCCAAACACACAAATGCCACGTAGACGAGGAACACACCATGATGTCAACAACCTTAAGAAACAGCTGACACGCCTTCAATTTGATGTCATAGTTCATCAAGATTTGACTGTTGTGCAATTATGGGATGCCATCACATATGGTAAGGAATAAACACTCCCAAAATGACTGCAAACAAATCTAATGTAAACAACATCATTCTCAACACATTCTCTCAATGTACGTCTGTCTCTTATACACATCTAGATGTGTATAAGAGACAGATACTACCCAACCCAATGTTGAATGGTATTTCGTGAAAGAGGGGGAAAATTATATATCAGTCTAGGCCTATGTGTAGCTAGCAAGTCACATACAAATTACAAGTTTTCTAATCTTTGTTTATGAGGGCTTAGACCACTAGGCTAGCTTCGAGCCAGTACAAAGTTAACTTAGAGGAGCCATTACCAGAATGAAAAGGGAGGCGTGGTTCCTAAATTTCTAATAAGGTCTTAACTTAAAAACCACTTGAAATTTGGCTGAAATGTTGGATTCTTTTTAGTTAGACATATGAAAGTATTTTAAGATTTTAAAGAAATGAAAATCCAAGGGGGTTTTGAGATAGCATGACCCACTTTAGGCCAAGTAAAAAAATTAAATCTTCTCCCCTCGCATATCCATTTTCTCAGCCTCGCCAATTTTTTTTTTTTTTTTGTCTTATATTACGAAAGGCACGAAAATTTGGCTAACTCACATCAGAAAAATTTCTCTCTCGATCATTTGTGGTTGGGGATACATGGTATTAATCATGTCTAGTGCTTTGCTTTCAATGTGTCTACTTGGTAAAAGTGGGAAAGTACAGTAGCAGCTCTTTCCCATCGACCATCTTGAATTTGCCATCTCGGAGTAAAAAAAAAAAATTTGAAAAGTGCCTTCATTCTTATTTTTTTTGAAAATATTGGATGAGAAACTGTTTTTTTTTTAATTGGCCTTATTAATCAGGCTGTTATTAACATGTACACAATCACTCAGGCATAGGATACTTAATTTTAATATCCTTTTCCATAGCATTAAGTTCATAAATAACTGTAATGTACCGTACACCATTCTCAATGTTTTTTTATAAATGGAAAAGTATTCACCGAATGTTGTATTTTTCTTGTAGCATCTTGCAGGGTATCGATAGGAATCTACATAGCTATGATATGTCACATGCCAAACGCGGAAAAGCGGTCATCTTCAACCATGAGGATTTCCACCCAAACACACAAATGCCACGTAGACGAGGAACACACCATGATGTCAACAACCTTAAGAAACAGCTGACACGCCTTCAATTTGATGTCATAGTTCATCAAGATTTGACTGTTGTGCAATTATGGGATGCCATCACATATGGTAAGGAATAAACACTCCCAAAATGACTGCAAACAAATCTAATGTAAACAACATCATTCTCAACACATTCTCTCAATGTACTACTTGTGGTTGGGATCAATAAGTCTTTATGATCTAGCAATAACACATTTTGATTGTAATAATTTGTTGTACTGTGGTTTGTGAAATTAAGGGACATTTATTTGAATATATAGGTATCCATATTACAGACAAAAAAATAAATGCCTCCCTTGAATAAACACGTCCCTCGAATAAACGCCCCCTTCCCCTTCAAAAACACTTTTCAACATTCCCTGGGATGTTTATTCACTCATTTTCTTCTTGCACTAGTGTCATCAGAAAGCCATGAGAATTCAGATTGTTTTATTTGCGTGTTCCTCACTCACGGCGATAATGACATTATCTATGCACATGATGGTGTACTGAAGCTGCAAGACCTCTTTGATCGCTTTAGAGGAGAAAGGTGCAAAAGTTTAGTAGGCAAACCAAAGATTTTCTTAATACAGGTTAGTAATTTAAAATAAAAAATAAAATACCATCATCATCATTATTTTCATTACCAATCCCATAGTTATTACTACAGGTCTTCCTTTAATTAAGGACCATTTTTTGGGACCATGGTTTTGTGGTCTTTAAAAGTTTTGGGGCGGATTGCTATAAGCAAATAAGCGTTAAGGTCTTAACGGTTAGCCGGCTATATTTTTATTTATTTTTTAAAAATTTATTTGTTCTTTATACTGGGTTACCTCTTGTTTTGGTCGTGAGAAAAAGTCCTGCAACTGACAGGAATTGAACCCATGACCCTGGGATTGGAAGGCAAGCATCTTAACCACCAAGCTATTCAACTTCACTCCAATCGTGATACTCAAAGCGGTCATAGGGAAGACTGTTTTATAGCAATGGTCTTAGAGGAATGACTTTAGTAAGACCGTCCAAGTGATAAAGCCGTCTTTATTCGAGAAGTTAAGACTACCAATTAATACCGTTTCATAGCAATCCGCCCTTGGTCTCTAATTAGAATAATAAAGATAATAGACATTTGTTAATTTGGGACCAACTCCAAAAAAGGACCACTTTTCTATGGTCCCAAATTAACAAGTGTCTTATCTTTATTATTCTAATTAGAGACTAAAGTTCTAAAGACCACCAAAACCCTGGTCCAAAAATTGGTCTTATTCTATTATTATAAAGTGTAAATGATAAAGTGAAATTAAGTGTAATTAAGTGTATTAATAATTCAGATTTTTTTCTTATGATGCATTTTATTGTGTTTTTTTTAGTACCATTATCCATCATCTTATTCATTCAATCTGAATGGTCTAATAAGAACCAATTGTTAATAAGCACCACCTTTGGTCTGTCATGAATAATGCCATGACAATTTCAGTTCATCATATCCTTACACAAGTGTTACCTTTTAAGGCATGTCGTGGAGAGGAACATGAAACTGGCATCGATGCCATGGATGGAGTGAAAGATATTGATGTAGCTGATGCAGGCCCAAGGCCTACAGTACCTTGTGGAGCTGATTTTCTTTTGGCCTATTCTGTGGTACAAGGTAAGGTTGCTTCTACAAAAGTCAACTTTCACCATTTGATTAGGGCACTTTCAATTTGCAACGATGTAGAACGTAGAACGTCATGTCAATTTAACTGCACACGTTGCGCGTTACATTCTCTCAGGAAGCAGTTGTTGGCCTCATCTACATTCAGACCAAAACGAGGACTGTACTGTATTAATCATTAGTGCATTTGTCTTTGCGTTTGGGACATATCTGAAATTGGATTTTTAATATTGGAAATCCCTTTTTCATAAATCTGTAATAAAAAATAGAAATTCTTATGGGATGCTGTTTTTTTTTTTAACTGGTTAATGGTGAAGATACATAAAATGGATAAAAAAAATAATCAATAGTTTAAATTATTTTCATCATTCTATTTAAAAACAGACAAAAATCCATGTTTGTTGGCAGAATCTTGAAAAAAAAATTCCCAAAAATCGCTGCAAGATGAGATTTTTTCCAAAAAAAAATTAGTCAATTCTCCATATAATTCAGTAGAAATCACCTCTAGTTAATAAACAAAACTGTAAATGGTGCCTGCAGTAGGGAACAATTTAAAAAAAAAATATTTTCATGCCCCCGGTAGTATGGAAAATTTGGGTAACTTATTCAGTTCCACCACTGCTCTGTGTGTTTCAGTCAAATATTTAGAACACAGGGGTGGGTTGGTGGGAGGGAGGTGTTGTCTCTGGCATACCACACATCTTCAATCTTTATCATTATAACCTATAATTCAAGGATTTTTTAATCAGCATCCAATAACATCATCTTCTTTCTGTTGAATCTTTCAGGATTTTATTCCCACCGTGACACCGGATTTGGTTCCTGGTTCATCCAAGCCCTTACCTTTGTCATGGAGCGTTACGGAACCACAATGGAATTCACAGACATGCTTCTGTTGGTGAACCATATCGTTTCCCAACGCTCAGTTCAGATGTGCAGCGATCCTAGTATGATTGGCAAGAAGCAGATACCTTGTTTCATATCAATTCTGACAAAGAAACTGTACTTCAATCCAAAGTGAGAAGGAGAAAACGAGTAGCTATAATCTTTGTATTCTGTTATTTTCATCATCATCAAATATACTTTTCATCATTTGAAATAAAATGTAATCAGGAGATGAAACTAATTGAAGAAGAGCTGAAGAGTAAAAAATTAATGTTGTGTTTACACTATTCTAGTTTACATGGGGAGGTGGGGGGATTTTTGAAGCTGCCAGTAAGTAAATTAAAGTAACTTTATGAGTAAGCCAATGATTTTGAATTTGTGATACAAACACGATTAAAGTGTCTGATTTTAGAATCAAAGTTTTGCAATTTAATTACAATGGTTGAAAATCTATCAAATTCAATCTTGGAAATTGCACCCTATACTAAAGTATGCCTCAGGGAAGTGTTTCAAAGAACCATTTTCATCATATGCCAGTGGAGTATACAAAATGCAGTATATTATATTAAATCATGAAAATTTTATAAAATAATTTTAGGAAGAATTGACTGCATGTTCCGTATGTGTTGTAGAAAACTAGAAGTGTAAACTACACTTGCCATCACTCCAAATTTACCGTACATACTTGCGTATAAAGCAACCCACGTATAAAACGACCTAAGATTTCTGGACAATTTTCATATGACGGGCGTATAAGACGACCCGTCTATTTCATCATCCATTTTTACTGCTTTTTAAGGCCTCTTTATACTGCATCTACTGTACAATACGCACATAAGACGAAATGATTTTTAAAATTTAAAATTTGTATGTTGTGCCCATACGACGACCCACTGTTTTTTTTATTGTAATTTCCTATTTTAAGCCTCGTCTTATACTTGAGTATATATGGTACGTTACTTGTGGATGCTGTGATAACGTATGGTGTAGGAAAAATACCGGTGCTAGTTACAACAGCAATAACAGTTTATATTCTGATTATTTGTTTTTATGGTAGCCTATACCTTCCACTGTGATTATCCAGATTATAACAGTGGATATTAATAGCTAATCATGAGAGATATTTTTGTTCACATTTTATACATTTTTCTAGATCAGAGCTTTGCCTTGCAAAATTATCATCTTACTCCTTGTGGCCACTGTTTAGTACTATCTTTACTCTAGCCCTCACTAAGTGGGGAAGAAGGTTGGTATTGCAATGAGCTCTGCTGTGTGTCTGTCCTTCCGGGAGCATAACTCAAAAACTATTGGACCGTTTAACCTCGGAACTTTTTCATATTGACATTATTACATGTATCTCGGTTCTCCTCGAACTTGGTGCTCATCAGAAATAAGATATAGATTTTAGAACATTATTTATGTAGTTTTAGGTCTCAACTCACAGAGCCATTTGGCTAAGACAGACTGACTTAGCGGATCGACCACGGACCTACCATGTGTCAAATTCTGGCCGGCGGATGCAGTGGAGAAGTAAGATGCAGATTTTAGAATGTTTTAATCTGCTGTCCCAATTTAAAAAAACAAAATTTGTGAAAAATAATAAAATATAGTATTCTATAGATGTACAAATAATAAAAATAACAAAATAATTTTTTTAAATCCCACAAAAAACGAGATTTGAACCGCATACCTTCGATTAACTTTACCTCTTTCACCTGATATGTATAGCTGGTAATATTACACCCCTATAATACAATAACCTGCAGCAGATGGAGTGCAGCGGATGGAGTGCATTGGTTATATACAATGATATGGCGTGACAGGGCGAGAGTTTGTAATTTCAGATTATTTTGGGTTTTTTTAGCAACATGTTTATCAGGATTACCATCAAGAATGCACTTTGAATCTAGTCTGTCAGTAATAATTAGCATTTTCGGTAAACCTACCAAAGGGAAACATTCCATGTACCACACACATATTTATGTATGTCAAAGCTGGGCTTATTGGAATGGTCCATATGAAAAATCATGGGAGTGGGGCTAGGTCAAATGATCAGTGGACAATACAGTAACATCAGTCAATGCTGCAAGTTTTTTTTTTAATGAGGAATATTCTACTAAGTGAACATTATTTTATTACTCTTTTGTCACAGATTGAATCATGTTTACATTATTCGAAACTTTTGCTTAACTATTTTATGTACTTACTGTAAATGTACTGTATTTATAATTAAGAGTTACATAATCTTCCAATTATTTAACAACCAAATTGTAGTAGTACTTAAATTTGCATTCTCATAAATATAGAATGTGCAATATATTTATCCAGATATTCTTGACATTTTTTTAGCAAAACCTAAACAACTCTGCAAGTTGATAATTCTAGGAAAATCAGTTAATAATGTTGAGGTTTTATTGGATTTATTATCATATCAGGGAAAGTTTCTGTACTATGTTATGTGCAACGAGTTACGCTACCATAGAACATTAATAAATACATTTGGTTTTTTTTGCAAAATTGTTCAGGTTTTGTGGGAACTTGTCCTATAACCTTGAAATATTGGCTAACGAACACAGTTATGTCTACATTCTCAAGAATGTTACATAAATTATTGTGTTTATTGTTATATATGACATTTCATTTTTAGTGTGTTGTGATATTCAAATAAATGTTTGTGTAAAAAAAACCAAGAAGTCTCCTAAAAGGTTTGTTTTTCTGCAAATGTTTTTAACAAATCAAGAAACTTAAGGTCTACATCTGTTTGCATACTCTATTCCATAAAAAAGGTAGTTGATTTAAATCATTCGCTAATACATAGATATAATACATTAACATTAATCACATGTAAAGGACACACAAATTATTGTTGGTTTAGGTTTACTTTAGAATAACGTGTGCCAATGAGGGACCGCGCTTCTTGGTGCTTCAAGCATATCGTTCCAGTGTTCAGCGCCATCACCAGTGGAATATACGAATGGTCCAATCACGGTTCTACCTACGACACCATGCGCGCGCATGCTGTGGCATACGGCAAGGACGATGTATGCATGCTCCAATTCGCTTGCTTTCAAATCCATTGAAAAAGCTTGATTGAATACTGGATGTAGATGACATGTCTTCACAGACGTCTGACGAGTTTTGCAACATTTCTTCGCTTTAATCATAGATAATTTCACGTACAAACCACATTTGCCTTTGTTAATAGAACGAGACTTCGGATGACCTAATGTTAAACGATGAATATGAATGTTACACAGTGTTTATTCACAAAATACGTCCTCTGATGCATAAATACAGTACATTAAAATATAATATACATTTGTTGCGCATTCCGAGGTTTATCAATGCCATGCGTGTGTAAGATATTAGATAAATTTCAGTATGAAAAGTTGAATAGATTATACTCAAACCTACGAGTTCTACAATAAAAATAATCTCCTGAATCTAAAAAAAAGAACTAAGCAGTATCGATAATGTTTCTCCTAGCGGCTGAAATAAAAAATAAATAAAAAAATAGGAAGCAGGACAGCGTGTGACACCTCAGGTACCAATTTGACTATGATAACAATATGGTTGCAGTTTAGTGTTTCAAACATTTTTGTTTAACCATAAATATGTACTGTATATATTACGTAATTTCAAAGTGAATGACGTTGCGAAATTTGCTGTTCAGATGATCAATTCGTTGTTCGACAGACAATTCAAGTTCTGGCAGATATTTTATGCAAATGGTCAAAACACTTGATTTAACTACCAATGTCATAAAAAAAAGGAGCTAAATAAGATATAAAAGTATACAGATGGGCCTAGCTCTGATATATTTGGCCCTTTGTTGGCAAAGTTCTCATGGTATTTAATATGGGTATCTGACGTTTCTACTTTAAAATGGATAGTCGTAAAATTGAATAGGCGCTATAGATATTGCATTTCACTGATATATACGGTATTTATGGATTTCAATTAAAAAATTTGAACGAGAATTTTTCCCTTGGTAATTAAGACAAGCATTAAATAACATCATTAGTAACGTTGCATAAAACCTTGAAACATAATGTCACCAACTCATATACCAATGCATTTATATGATAGGATATAAACGAATTAGGTTTTATCGAATTCTACTTACATTGGCACGATTTCATATCGTTATGAAGTTTTAAATTCTTGGAACGCAGAATAACCACATTTAGACGACTTGCATTTGGTAGATACGTTAAAGACAAAAACAACTCTCCTTGTTTAAAATCTCTCTACAATAGTAATAAAACAAATAACTATAAAAAGTGACAGCTTTAGTATTCAAAATTGAAAATAAATTCTGCATTTTTTTTCTGTGTCAAACACATTGTACACAAAGCGACAGAATCATATAATTGATAAAAACATGCAAGTGAATATTGCCGCTTTTTTCTACAAATAGATAATGAATTGATACATGAATCGTTCAATAAATATAAGACGTATGTGGATATTACAGTATAATATGCATAAAGTTTGTCGAAAAACTGTCAAAACAACGTCATTTCTAAAATAAACTGATGTGAAAGTTTACTAAGGTGAAACATTTTATAAATGGTATACATATAAACCGAGCTAAAAGCCACTACATTAAATATTTGAAATAACTTAGTGCATGTTAAGCCTTAAAGATCTTAGCTTTTTAATTAATTACCACGATCAATTCCCTAAAAAATTAATGACGTACTGTTTAATTCATATCATTCATATGTTTACATATAGGCCTATCAGAGTAAGCCTACCCTTAAATCGGCTGGTAATAAAGAATTTCACGAGAACAAAATGTGAAATCGAAACTGAACTATTTGTCATTTTAAATTGAGCGGTTTTTAAATATACTGCGCCTGCGCAGATATACCCTATGCTGTGGTAGTGGGTTTTTTTTAAATGTAAAATGGAATGTGTTAAGGTTAATTTTAGTTACTGTAATTCCATTGGACAGGCATGCTAAGTACAGTGTGAATGTAGTTTTATCAGGGAGTTGGTAATTCCAGTAATTGGACCTACGTCTTGCCAGATTGAAATTGTATTAGGCCTACAGTGGGTACTTCGTTGAACAGTGGTGTGAAAGCTACATTGTTAATCTTACCAACAGCTCGTCCTGGTGGATGTCCATCCATACTGGTTCAAATTTTTCACTGGAGTTTGGATCAAATGTTCGCAGCGGATAGAGGACTTCACCAACGGAATTTGCACGGGAATTTTCATCGCATTGAAAAACTATAAACCGCACGGCCATAGCCTGCACTGCCGACACCGGAACAATGAACGTAAAGTACTGACGGAACTGAGGCGATAAAGTGTCGCGTTTCATACGGGACTTGTACGTTAGCCGGTGCGTATTTGGAATCAAATTCACCTGTACATACGAATCTGTGGTACCGCGCATGTTTGTCGCAGGCAGTTGAATTACCTTAAATATAAAGAAACAGATTTGTATCTTAAAATGTGAAATTAACAAAATCTTACTATTACTTACTTTTTAATGAAAATAAAACGTCAGCAAACCCCAAATTCACATGGTATAATTTAACTTGTTCGGATAAAATTGAATTTTTTTATGATAGTTTATCTTCGTTTAAGCTTAAATTAATATTATGGAGGCCTGTGTGTTTTTTTCTCCAACCTGTTATTGGAAGTTTCTATCTCTGTTGGTTGAGAATTGAATAAAATAAGAATAAAATTTAAAAAATAATAATAATTTTAAATTCTTCACGGAAAAACATCGCCTGTATTATCAAACAACTTTAATTTCAGTCCAGACTATCAGATTTTATTTGACAAAAACATGTAACATGCCTAAATATGATCATGATGACATCACATCATGACCATATATAGGCACATTATGACTATATATGGGCATACAGAAGTTTTTTTGTCAAAGAATATTGATTGTCTGGACAGAGCATTAGGCTCTGTTCAGATTATCAAATATTCTTTGACAAAAACTATTGCATGCCCATATAGTCATGATGTGCCTAAATGTCGTCATGAAGGAATAGCATCATGACCATATCAAGGCACGTCACATGCTTTTGTCAAATAAAATCTGATAGTGTGGACAGGGCGTGGTGGCGACAGTCAGCCAATGGCTACGTTCAGACCTGTGAGATACGCCAGGCGTATCTAACGCCAGGCGTACGTTAATCCATGGCGTAACTAGCGAGATGTCCAGACTGAGCGATTAATGAACGCTAGCGTAAGTATTCGCGCGAAATATTCGTATTCGTAATTCGCGCATTTTAGTTTCTGTTTACATCTAGGTTTATTTTGATTGGTCAAATCTTGGCTGAGTTCAAAATCACCGATGCGTGACTGTCGTAAATCAGTGGCGTACGCTAATCTGGGGTCTGTTGCTGGATTACCGTACGCCAGTGATTGCGCGATAATACTGGCGTTCGCTACGCCGCGCACAAGTTCACACCACTCGATTAACGTTACGCTAGCGTAAGTCGTTGTGTCTGAACATAGCCAATAACAAGCAAATCATTAAAGCCGGGCAATCACTGCGCCCAACGATCGTCGACCGACGCGATTCTATGCAGCACACAACGCGATGACGCGCGCGCAATTGAAGGATCGTTTTTAATGACGATCCGTTCCAGACTGCCACCGAAAATCAGCAAACGGCGTCGCGTCGTCTAGCGCTCACCGGGTGCGGGGTTAGATTCGTCGTGCGACGGTCGTATGACGCAGTGGGTGCCCGGCATTTGGCTACTGGTACGGGAAATCTGAAGTGACTATTTCTTACCGTTATTCTCGCCTATAAATCTCATTAGACTAGACACGACAACGACATAATTATCGCTTCGTTTACATTCTTCAACACTGAACCCATTTTTGTCGTGTCGTTGTCGTGTCGATTGTAAATGTAGCTTTAAAGGAGGCTTAAAATTGCAAACTATGATCGAAAATCACCCGAAAATATACGGTATTCAAGACCCAGTATTGCGCTACTTACTGTATGTGTGGAACACAAACAGCAAGAAGTTAATTATTGTGTAGGTTAGAGAATTTCTTTGTATCTCACCTGTGAAAGGAAAAACGTCAGTTGACTTTCTACCGGAGCGTACGACACAGAAAACTGCAGCTTTCCACGACCGTACTTTGACGGGATTTTCGACTGATCTTCGTCGGATGTAATTTGATACACAACAGGGTTAATTCCATACTGCACAGGATTCGTCTGAACGCTAAGTTGACGTGTAGGCGTAGACGTCATTTGAAAAAAAGACTCGGTAGTTGAGTCTGAAAGGTTTCCGCTGCTAAAACTTTCATTCGATTGCTGCGCAGGAAGTGGTGGTCCAAAGAACGATTTCGTTTTAACTCTAGTTGCATCCCTTGTAGATGGATTGGTCTTCGGAATTGTGAATGCGATGGGCGGGTTGAGTTTCATTGGCTTGTGGTAGATGAAGTACTCTGTTTTGGCATCGTAATTACGCCGTCGACAGTACTGCACAGTGATGAAAATGATGAACGGGATAAGGCAGACCCCAGCCAGGGGTGCTATTATAGTTACAGAGAGTGGAACGTGACTGGAAGGCCTATCTAATATAGAACCATTTCCAGTTGTTCCATTGATGTCCTCCCTGCCTGTCACTGATATGTTGTCTATTTGGTAATTTCCTTGGTAACGTTTAATCTGTGTATCTTCATTATTAAATATTCTATTAGAAAAATGATAAGTAGGCCTATTATGAAACTGTTGTTGGCCAATTCTTAAACGTATATGAAGGTAACTACAATAAAATCAATTTTTTAAAGAAATTAAGTTATTGATTATCTTCACATCACAGTGCGTAGATTAATAATGTTATCTAATTTAACATTTTCCTAATGTGGATCACACTGGTGGTCTACTGCTTCTTGAAAGTTTCATCAAAGTTCTAGTTTGACTTACTATCTCTTGGTTAGTTTTACTGCAGCTGTCATTTTGCCTATTTTTACCATGCATTGGTCAGTTATAAGGCTAAATCTGAGTACTGTTTTTGGACACTTTGAATTACGTCTGATATGGTTTGCACAGAAGTGTTAAATAATAATAATACAATTTCTGTATACGGACATGTCATAATGATTAAATAGCAAAATATGACAACATTAGTTACAGACAACATTTCCTTCTATTTTTTAATCTCTCAGGTAACGAAATATACAACCGGAAATTTGTACGCAAACAGGTTTGACGAACTACTCGATTACTGGCAATTTAGCGCATTCAAGCTTATGCAACATTAGATATGTTTTTATCAACGGATTTAGTTAAACTAGACTCATTGACTTCCAAAAGAGGATTCATCAATGGCCATTACGAATTGGGGCCTACATTTTACTCCAACAGTGACCACGACTCACCGTTTAAAACGAAAAGGTTCGTCTAACCCGTGGACCATGAGCATCCAGTCGTCTGATCGTTTCCAAGGATACATAACATTGTACTTATATTTATTTTATCTTTGTGTTCGTCTGATTTTCAGGAAATCATTCTCGATCACACTCCAAGCAGTACAACGGCTGTAGTATCGTAACGGAAATGTCCAAAACAACGAGATTCAGTGGCGCGCTTTGTCACCTGTATATGCAAATAAGGATAATCGAAAAACATCATTTCCCTTACTCAGGAAAAAGGGCATCTATCAATAATTAGTGAATAGGCAATTATAGGCCACTGTTATCGGATTAACTTAATTATTGTCATATTGTTTGTTGTTCATATTGTGTGCAATAATTTTTACAATACTGAAATTTAATTTTCTTCTAGATAAAATTTGTAGATGGGTGTTTTTTGTCTATGCTTTCATTAATTACTGAAAATATTCGAGATAATATGTAAATCTATAAGAAATCATAAATCTTTAGGCATGAATTATTATTATTTAAAAAAATAGACCTCACTTCAGAAATAAAACGGCTTTGTTGAGGTGCTTGCTTAGCTGTAATGTTCTCACCTTTTACTGGTTTGTTTTCAGCAAAAATCTGATTTCAATATTATTTCCTATGATTTACCAGCAGCTACCTATAAGCTATTACGCAGCTTTAAAATAAAGTTCGCCCTCAAGTTGTATGAAGGAGGAGAGACTAGTGGTTTTAGATCCGGAATAATATCGCCTGGGCCTCTGTGATGATCTAAATAGTATGACGCTCACCGAGATAGCGAGAGATTGCGGGTTCGATTCCCACCACAGACCCCTTTTGACCTCTTTTTGATTGCAACCATGGAGGAATAAATTCCTCCATGTTGCAACTAAGGAACTTTCGTTGATGAACTATAAAATTGTTAACATTAAGATCCTATATATTTGAGCACTGTATTATTATCTATTTCATATATATATATATCATACATATATATATATATATATATATATATATATATATATAATTGTAGACTTTAGAACACAGATTTATTCGTAGCTTCAATAGTTCTACCATGCATGTGGCCTTTATTAGCGTGATTGATGGAAAAATCATGAATCACTGTTGAAGATATTCATATGGTTTGTAATTACTTTATTTGTAAGTTATTTGGTTTGATAAAATGGAAATATCTCATGTCAGGAATAATTAATGCATTCATATTGAAAACAAATAATTGGTGACAATGGGTAAGCAAATTCAGAATTGTAATGAAATCTTTATATAATTGAACAGTTTATAAATCAAGCTGTTTACAATGCGATAAAACAATACCGTTGATTGTTTGATTGGGCCGTCAAAATTTAATAATGATTTTAATAGAATTATGAATTTGATTACTCACCGTTTATTTGTTTTCTATATTTATGTATGTATGATAATGATTCATGATGTTTCTCATCAATCTCGCTGATGAAGGCTACAGAAATGTAGATAAAATATAGAATAAATCAGTGTTCTTAAAGTCTGCGATTTAAGTCTTTTTAAATTTATTTAAATTTGATTATAATGTAATATAATATAAAGTATTCTTTTAATTGGTTTTGTTATTGATTGAATAATGATGGAAGTGAGCTTTGTTCTTAAAATGACGAATTCTAAATTATAAAAAAAACAGGTGTGTTTATACTCCTCATAAGAAAGCCAATGCAAGACACGTTGTAGAATGGAGTATTTAATCTTTATTTTTTTTCATCAGCACATAATGATATAGATAAACATATGAATGCTTCTACGTCACATAAAAACCGGTTATATGATACAGCTATAAGATCTTACGTTCCCATCTGCAGACAACAAGAATTCTGCGAGAATGAAAGCAAATCTAATATATGAATCATCTTCTCATAAATCATCGAGATTCTGCCAACGACGTAGCTCCTCGTTAAATTTATTGCAGTGTTTTGGTGAAATCATCCCGGGGAGGGACACACGTTCACACGATAACAATGTATAAACGCAAATATTTTCGTTGATATTATATTTTACATCCTACATAAATTGAGAACCTCAAATATTCCATATTTACCTCAAAATAAGGAGCACATTGACTCTATGTACACTTTTATGCTAAAATCGTGCAACGACTTCAAGTGTTGTTCGTTTTTAATGTCAAACATTTCCAAACAGTTGCCGGCACAAATTCTTCGAAATTAGGTTTACAATCGTTTGTGAAATAAATCAGTTGGATTTTACGGTGTCAACATCAAAACATATTACTACATTCACAATTATTTTGTAGTGTATTTTTTCGATGTTTTCCTTTGAAACGTAACACGAATAAACCATACATAAGTACAGTACATAAAAAATAACCATAATCACAAAATATTCATTTGAACACCAAAATCAATAAAAATTAAAAAAAACCAACTAATTATTAACAATTTAACCACACTATGAATTACACGTTCGTTTATATATATTTTACAAAGGGTTCGAATAGATTAGAAATGCCCTTCTTGTGTGGTAAATACAGAACATTTTGACATCAGACATAAACATGTTCGTTCGAATTCAGAAGAAAGCCATATTCTTTCACCAAAAACCTGAACATCATAATTGTATATGTTCGTAGAGTATGAAATTATCATACTAGTTTTCACAGCCATATTTGAGTCTGGTTCTAATTCCGGATTTCAGTTGGAAAGAATGTTTAACATCATACAAACACCAACATAAAATAGATATAAATCAAAATACATTACCGATAAAATGCCTCAAATATTTCATAAACGTGTAAACCTATTTATCAACTCGATTGTACTGTAAATAGGCCTAATTAACAACTACAGTAAGGTTTATCTTTTACTTATAAGTTTAAAGCTTAGCGCCTTCAGCGCTATTGCAGTGGATATGTCCGCTTTGTAAATCTTAATTATTATTATAGATCGTAAACATATCCACCTCAATTCACTAGTAGGCCTCAGTGGCGTATTTATGGGGCGACTGGGGGAAGTAATTTTTGGAGAAGCGTGCTTCTCCCCCCCCCCCTTCACACTCCTAGGTACGTCACTGGTAGGCCTATAATTTTTATAAAGATTCGGAGAAATCTTCTATTTTACCTTGATTATAAATTTACAAAACAAAACTTAAAACAACAATCAGGAAGACGAATACATGGGTTCTAAAATCTAATGGATTGCGTTGATGTAGGTCAAAGCAGCAAATTGGGTAAACAGGTTTGTAAGTGATTACATAAATACCAACAACACTTAAAGTGCTGAATGCGTTTTACTGTAGCATGTAACAAGATAATAATAATAATAATTATAATAATATTGATAATAATAATAATAATATTAGCGAAGAATTGAGCTTACACATGACTTTGTTATGCACATTATTGAATAAGTAAACAAACACGTTTTATTAATGACATTTGGAAAAGTAATATAATGACTTGCCAACGATTCGGCAGAATTCACGTTATTAAAATAATATATAGGCCTACATAAGATACAAGGGAAACACTAAATCCAAATACCCCATATGATATTAAACCGTTATATCGATACTGTACAATTACTGATACACAGTAATATAATTTGTCCATCTTACATTGAAAATATATTATATATGTATCATTAAACGTTACTTTGGTTGAACTAGTTTGTTTTCTAGGCCTATCCGCACGGACACTATAACTAATATGAGAGCATTGAGGGAAGGTATACTTTATAATTGGTCAGAGTTAATACTTTATAATTTAATTTTAATTTTTTATTTTATTTTTAATTTATAATTTAATTTATTATGAGAAAATAAACTCTAAAGCCCTGTCCAAACTATCAAATTTTATTTGAAAAAAAAACATGACATGCCTAAATACGGTCATGATGACATCACATCATGACCATATATAGGCACATCATGACCATATATGAGCATACAGCAGATAATTTGATAGTCTGGACAAACCTTAACTGCGGAAAAGCTTCAGCGTACGCAATGCAAGCCAGCTTGCAGCTTCCTGCGATATATTCATACAAAAGATGATTAACTTTATTCTAACTATTTTACACCAATTCAGATAAAATTTCACTTTGTGTCTATATTACCAATAAAATCCACAGTTTATTAAAATATGTGGTTGGCCCTACATAGGGTGAAATATATATATATATAAAAAAAAATATACATGTTATGTGGTAAGGATGGATTACACATTGCTACAACCTCTCATTATTTAAAAACCATAACGACTCAACGGTAATGTAAATGCATGTTGACACGATTTTGATTAAACAAAATCTACACTAGAATTTTTATTTTTATCAATTTTTGTACTGAACAATATATTTTGTTAACAGATTATTATTGAGACAAATAACATTTGATGTCTGATAAAGTATATATGATGAATTGTTAATCGTATTTTAGTACCATGATTTGACCATCATTTTTTTAAAATAATATATCATGAATGTTGTAACCAATAATCTCGTATCCACAGAACGAGACATTCCACAGTTCATTTCAGCTATGTGGTTGTGGTGGTGGTCATACAACCAGAGCTGATATCATGCATCGTGCCGCAAGTGGGAGGGGCCCCACTTTGTCGGGGAGCTCAACACAATTTATTTGGGAGATAAAATACAGACTTCCAAAATCGTATAAATAAGCCTTCCAAATCACTAAATTGTCTAAGCTTCTGGGATGGGAGGATCGCCCCTTGAACACCCTCCGATGAGTTTGGGCGATCCCTCGACTCAGCACATTTACGCTTCCTTCTAGAGCATCTTCCCCCGTCGGAGATATTGCAGCTCTAGCACTGATATTATACCATTCTTGAATCATGACGATGGTTGTAATTACCATCTTATTGTGATTATTTGAGCTATTCTTAGGCCTCTTCGAGCTTTTTCTGTAGATCTACTTCAATCTAAACATTAACACTTCAGACAATAAATGTTGAGTTTACGTTAATCACCGAATTAATCTCGTACTTTTATCACTTCCGTCAGCACAATATCTGTGTGTAAATATATAATATTAATTGGATGGATGATGAGGGTCCATATTATTTTGTTCCCGTTTCAGGTACAACTTATTTATATTTATTTTTATATTTTCATTTCCTTACACATCCAAAATCAAGTACACTAGCCACTTACAGGATAGAACGATGCTCTATAAACCAAGCCTTTTAATGAGGCTTAGGGAGTGAAGTTGTTTTAAGTCGTTGACAGTGTGCAATATTGTACTGTATACCTTTCAATGTACCTTATATATAAATACAATGAAGACAGTCGTTAAAATGCCAATTAAAACATAAAATAATGGATACGTTTCATCACATATCACATCCGAGTCTGGGATTCTGTAATCTCAGTACGGTTCTTGATAACTGCTTGGACTTTTTTTTTATGATTGTTGGCTTACCATTATCACATGAATATTATGTCAAAGGTTAGCAATGTAATGTTTGTAATTTCTGTTTTTGTACCACTTCAATAAAGTTCAAATAATCTTGCTGACAAGTTCTTAGATTGCAGATTGTAATTACGTTGCAAAATATCGAGTTGTCATTTGTTCCAATCAGCGTTGCACAGTGAATTTTTAAAATATTCCCCTTTAAAAATCCAATTTCCACGCGTTTTATTCTTTCTTCGCTTAACGATTTTCAATCGGTCTCCGTTTATAAAAAAATATGCATGTTCACGAGATGTATTTAAAAAGAATTTAGCCAAAACAAACGCACGACGCATATGGTAAAAATGCCCTATTTGTTTGTAACCTCGAACACGATGACGGAAATGCGACAACAGTTACACGAAAACAATTGCTACAACTATATAACTTTGGTTCTAAAGGTTTAGTTCACACGTTTAACTCAAAACATGCCACTTGATAATAGTCTGCTTCTGCTGACTGGTCATCTCGTTCCAATGCTCCATCTCACGCCCTCTAGCCATCATAAAACTTCCAACCACAACCCTGCCAATGGTCTTGTCACCTGTAGATGGTTAAAACGTAATACAATAAGTTAATCGATTATCTGCCAAGTTTAAGGCATTCATAGTCTACCAGTCGTAAAATATATCATTAGTAGTTTTATTAATAAAGTTTGACCCATCTGAACAATTAATCTGACATTGCATTAGTAATGCAGGGACTTAATTATTATTCAGAACTCCTTTAAAAACTGTTGACGTCATTACGTTAAGAACAGAGAAATTCTGAAGATGACTCATCAACATCCAATGTACCCCTCCGGAGTGTAAATCAAATTTTAAAAACTGACCAATCAAAACAGAGTAATTAACGCGCTTGTTCACACAAACACACGTGCTTATGCATTTACGTTGTCGTTCTGCGGGAACTTCGCAACAATATCCTCGGCTGTACCTTAGCCGAAAGGTCCTTTAATCTTATGCCTACTTTTGAATGTATGTAAAATTAAAACTGAATGTGATAACAGAAATTTCTATTGGGCAATCTTAGTCAGAAGTCACTCAACTCACGAAAGTACGGAATTGCCAATCTAATTATATTTTTAAAAGCAGATTTATGTTTTCATTATTTGAACTAGATCATGTTATTTTAAGAAATGCTATATCCTGTCGTTACATTGACGTCATGCAATAGAGCATAAAATATATATTAATATATATATATATATATACATTTAAATTGCGAACGAAAAAAAATGTGGCAGTTAAGATTCAACAATGATGGTTAGTTTTGCAAGAAAATGCTATGGTTCTCTTTTATATCCTGAAACTATATTTTAATAGGTCTATTCTCCATATCAATGGAATTTGGTTCAGAGTAAATTCTCCGCTTTAGGAAGAGCTTTAGGGCCGGAAGACAAAATTCATTGGGGCAGAAATCCCGGAACGATAGATCAATTAAAGAGACATGTAAATCATATCCTAATTCTATATTAAATAACCATACAGAGGTATCTACATCATTGGACTCTGGTTCATTTCAAGAAGAGAGAGATTTCCGGGCATATTTGGTTACACTATAACGAGTTAATATTATACTTAACATTAAATTACTATCAAATTTATAGGGATGTGTCATGCAATGCGATCCACAAAATTTATATACATTTGGAAATTCTCTACACATAATAATTTGGTGTAATGTAAAGCAAATGTTTTAGGGTTTTTGTTTTTTTTTTAATAACAGACAATTTTTCCGGTTATATTTAAGAGAACATTAAACACGCAGCGACTTATTTTCACTTATTCATTCAAAATCAACATACATATCGTGGAAACCTCGGTTACATTTTAATTCCTGTTCAAATAAAATCCACAATAATTCAACTGAGTACAAATGTAATCATGATAACGTAACACGACCAGTCACGACAGAAATAAGATTTTGCCAGTGACAGCATATCCAGGGATACAAATTATTCGTAAACCCATATAAACCGTGGGTAATGATATGAGACGGTAAATTATTCGTTCAACACAAAGTCCCATAGGTGATTTGGATCTTTTAATATATCTTTTTAAAAAAAACTGATTCACATGAATTCAGGATTTACAATAAATTTAATAATAAATAAACGTGATAGCTTTTAAAAAGCGACCGAAGAGATAAGGTAGACTAATTAGGATTTACAATAAAATCTATTAATAAATAAACGTGATAGCTTTTAAAAAGCGACCGAAGAGATAAGGTAGACTAATTAGCTTTCAATATATTTTATTAACCTATATTTACAGTCCTCCCGAATAAATCAAATGATCTGAAGAAATTGAACAAGCCAGAAATACCGTATGTTGTTTTTCACTAATTCCACAGTATAATTTTTTATATTAAATGGTTGCGGTAAACCACGTAGATAGTTATAAAAAAGGACTGTTTTTGATGAGAATGTCTCGACGTTTCGATTGAATTGCTTCAGTGGTCATCAGAAGAATAATAACCTTTTCCCTTCTAATTACTTTAACACTTCTTCTTATGTTTGGTGTACTGCGTAAAATAATATAGTTGAGTATTTTTACTTGTTAATCCAATCGTATTTGTATATATTTAAACATTATTATCATCATCATCATCATCATCATCATCATCATCATCATCGGCGTCAGCATCAGTATTACAGTACTACTTTTTTTTTATTGAAAGCTACCAGTTATTATTCTGCTTATTGTGATTGAGCATAACATCGCATGAAGAAATTGCAATATCGAAGTTGGCACCCCTCTCGACAACAGTATCGATTTTGTACATAGATTATCCGGGGCGTCAAAAATAATTATACTGTGCAATGCAACGTTCAATTGACTAGGAAGGTGTGGAAGCATGAAACAGCGGTCAGTCTTTTGACTTCCATATCAAAAACGTATGTTTTATTTCTCGACCCAGATGTAGAAAGGCATACATGAAAGTCTGAATGGCGAATGGATAATTACTAAACTCCATTATGGAAGACTCTTCGGAGAAGCATACCCAGCTAACAATATTACCTTATAAGAACGTTATAATAACGTTAGGGTTGGTGTTGGAAACGTTCTTTGTAGAACGTAATTAGAACGTAATTTCACAGCTACATAACGTTTGAACGTTGCTGCAACGTTGAGTTTATTTAAGAGACAGAAAAAGATGAAATATAAAGATTTTCTGTAGAACAAAATATCTGACACAGTTACAATATACGTTCTAATACCCAAAAGATTAGAGTCTAACTAAGAAGTACAGATAAAACATGGATAGCATATTGTAAAACATAGCAGACCCACACCTGAAATTCATGTTGACAGGCTTTATATAATTCGAAGTATTGTTACTGAAAAAAAATCGGAACGTGGAAAAGAAAAATAAATGAAAATATATGTAAAATAAGTTCTAGAAAATTCAAAGATCTTCCGGAATAAACGACAAGGAATTTTGGACAACTGAGAAGTAATGATGGCTGACAGAAATCAGTCGAACACTGACATTTTCAATTCATTTTTAGTAGTGTATCGGATGATCATGCTAATACTGTTCAACGCCGTATATTACGTCATTGAAAAGAACTGACCGATTTAGTATTCAATGTAACGAATCAACTAATCGTAAATGTAGTGTACACCATTTTTTTCAAGGATAAACTAGGATGAGCCGATTTTAAAACATTTGCAGTCCATCCATGTTTGCATAATGAGGATATGGAATGTTATACCATTGTTAGCAATTGCTATTTGTAATCAATACACAATAATAATTAGGCCTATAAATAAATTAAAATTCATATTAGTTGACTTGTTTTTTTCAATTATACCTATAGTCACCAGTTAATTGTGAGGAAATCTTTCTGGAAATAATTTATTTTACTTGGGGGTGACCTCCCCAAAAAGAGGTCGATCTCCTAATGGTGTTTTGATGTTGTTTTTTCTGCCTTTTATCTACGTGTAATTAAGATTTTCAATAAATCAAATCAAAATCAAGCCTTTGCAAATATTGTATTACAAACAGATGGATGTTTTCAGACAACACCGATATCTCTGCAATAACATATGAGTCTAATAACCATATTATGAACGAGAGGAAAATGTAGAGGTTACAGAAATAGCAAGTATATTTATTGGAATGAAACAAATACTGTAAAACACATCTCCTACAGCCCAACCTAATTTCTTTTAGCTGAAGAAGAATCTGGAGGTATTTTATTTTCAGTCAATCCAATATTAGCAAGACAACTAAAAAATAGGAAAGAAGAGCCGCTAATGTAAATTTATTGGTTATAATTTTTTTTTACTTTGAAGATGTACACTATGTGTATACTTTGCTGAAATAAATGTTGTCAAAATTAAGTTTCAGTGAGTACAATATTAGCAAGACAACTAAGCAACTAAGAAGAGCCGTCCAGTTGAATTTGGTGGTAAATGTTTTTACTTTCGAAATATAAGCTTTATTCTTTGCTGAAAAAATGCTGTCAAAATTGAGAGAGTTGAAAGAAGAGCAATGGCATTGTGCGCGGCATACAATACGTGTCCCTTGAATAAGATTGAGTAAGAATTAAAGTGCCGTCAGTATACACGGAATTAGTGTTGATAGTTTTAATATTATTAAATGGCACATATGATGGCTTTAATATGGATTCGCGAACGAGAATCGATTGGTTAAAAATTTCTAAATGCTTTCTTAATCAGCAATAATACCTCAAAATGTATTTTCTTCACTTACTGTTCCTGTTGTAAAGTTATGTTTTTATACTAAGAGAAACCTATGTTAATTTGGTTGTCGGTCCATACTTTTGGTGACATTTCAATAGGTATTCTTCAATAGACTCACTGCTTTACAGTGGGATTTCTGCATATCCTCAATTTTTACGGTGTGCCCAAATAAGGTAGTAGTTTCATTTATTTTTTGTGTGATTTTGTATATTTGAACAAATAGATATACCTCTGCATTCGATTCACATGTCTACTTGTGCTGGTCAGTAATAATCGAAGATACTAGAAATAAAAGATGGAGCACTCGCATAGCAAAAATGAGGCGGAAATTGGTCCAGACGTACGCGGCGCCCTTCTCTTTTATAATGCAAGTTTTCTATACTTGGTCCAGACGTACAGGGCGCCCTTCGGTTGCTAGGTATAACCAGACGCACGCGGTGCCCTTCTCCTTCCACTAATGGAGGAAAACTTTATCACTAATCAGAGTCCGGTCATACGAATCTGCGCTTTTGTGTCGTCATTTTATTGTTTTGATTTATTAATGCCTACTTGCTTGTATCTTATGGATAATGGCAACGATTTCAACCTCCGCAAAAGGAGGCTATGTATTTACAGTTATGTAAGGGTGGCATAAGTTTTTTTAAATCCAGCCGTACGCGGCGCCCCATTGTTTGTATTCCCACCATGCGTTTCGGTGGAACTGTTTTTTTCTCTGAAAAACTCTATCTTGTGTTTCTAGTATCTTTGGTAATAATTGGGCAAATTATTGTTTCTCAGGAGAGGACTGTTTTTGGTGTGAATCATACGTAGCCCAATGGTTAGTTTCCAGTAGGGTCCTTCCTGGTGGAGATTTGGGCAGTACACCAGGATTCAATTTCCTACTTCTCTTTACCGAAGAGTGTACTGCGTTCTTTAACGTGCAAGGGCCTAGCCGTCTCATCCGAAAGAGATGCGCTTTCAGTCCCCTAGCTGACCGGGGAACAAAATGATCTCACGGTTCATGGCACAGCCGACTGGGCTAAGCTGCTCTCTGAAGCTCCTCAGTTTCAGAAGATCACGTGAGAATTTATATAAGAGTATCATTAGATTCTGAATAGAGCTTCATGTTACAAAGTTAAAGGTTAAAGAAAACCTCAGATTTGGTTAATTAATATTTTTTTACCTTTGTGGTTGTTAGATTTGTTCGGGTGATTGCTAAGCTTTACAGTCCGTATTGATTGCAACAAAAGCTATGGGCTACAAAAAACCTTTATTTTCTAGATATCAGGGTAGTAGCGAGCAGACTTTGAGTAATAAATAAACCGTGCGATTCAGACATTTATGGATACCTTCAGTATTTTATTGCTTGTATTTCTGTATTCCAATTAGATGTTAATAATCTAGGTGAAACAGAATACAGGCATAGTAATGTTTACTCTACCTGGCATGGATGAACGCCTGTGTTTACCTTAAAACACTTGAATTGTTATTTGCATTATAAACTTAAGCGAGTTGTTGAGTGTGAAATAATAACGGTTACGGAAGATATACATCTTTCACTGCTGTAATTATTTGACAATTGTTTTGTTTATACCTTAGAGAAGACACAATGTCTAAACCTAAATTCATAAAATATTAACCAATATATATTTTAATGATACTTGAAGGTATGGAACGATTTCGATCTTCAGATTCTGGGTAAATTAATGAACACAGACCTGAATCATTTGAGAAGTGATATTGGGTGACAGACGGCAATAGTCTGAACCGCGCAGCAAAATGTACTGCGACTACGAGTTTAACGAAGGCTTTACTGGTAAGGCTACACACAAACATAAATTAGATGATAAATTCAATTAGTGCGGTAACTTGATAGGACATCTCTCTATTGTACGTGGAATGAATTTTTGGATACGATATTTCGGACTGGACAATGTTATCTAAATATAGGCTGATGGGGGTTACGATTTCGTCCTACTTAAATTGACTAACGGAACAGAGCCAGCGCATCCAGAAAAATCGGAAAGTATTCAGTGTAAAAACACGTCCGTGAGATCACTATTCGAGATATTATTACATTGTATGAAATTTGGTTACCATGGTAACTATTTTATTACTCAGTGATGAGTGGAATGATTTCACGACCCACGTGACCCGGTATTACTGGCGGCGCCAAACGCTGGCAGCATTCCATTAGCAGATACTAAATTACAACCTTGGCTTTCAAATTATGGTTAATCTTTATGTTTCGCACAAGTTGAAAAATATGATATATGTTATAATTATCTGTATTAGGTTTGACGAGTTTGGGTATTTGAACCGGGCATGCTTAATGAGTTGAAATTCCTCTTCATTAGTCTATTTTTTCAATGACATTATACGAATATATAAGTATGAATATGAACCGAAGTACGAAAAATATATATGTTGTGTAGGCCAGTCATTGATATATAATATAAATATAGTTTATTGATTAGTTGTCTAATGTTATGTCAAATATAATAACGACACTAATTTATATAGAGTAAAGCTTTACACAGTGAAGGCTTGAACGTTAATGTGACTACTAAACGCAGATTCAATTGGATTACTTTAATCATGTGATGTTGTTTAATTGGAAACTTCTGGATTTTAGAGAGGTTTGGTTAAAAGAAAGTGACGAGCATGTACAGTGATTTGTTTGATGTGCCAACACGAGCCACTGTAATAATTGCTTTAGTTTAGAGTCATAGTTGATGTTGGTGAGTGATGGGTAATGGCAAAAAAAAATTCTAAACTGCTATCAATGATAACTTCCATGTAATCAATAAGAATTCATTTGATTCATCTAATGTCAGAATATGTTTGTCAAAGAAATGAAAACGGTTGACATAAAAATGCATTAAAAACACTGACGAATGAGTTGCGAATACGTGAAACGTTAACGCAAAAGTACGGTACATCAAATAATATAAACACCATAGATTACACAGAAATATCGGTAATGTCAGATGACAACTTCACAGTGGAATTCACTCAGTAAATCTCAACTCAAAATGAAACTGATTTACATACATTTTGATATTTGCTTAATATAGATACCAAAGTAGGCTTGAAGTAATTATGTCCTGTGTCTGCAAACAGAGTAAAATGCATGAATGCACTGGAATCTTCGACCATCTGGAGAAATTGTATCAACAGTTAAGCTTATTTTGGTTCTGCTAGAGTCTATTTGGAGTTGTGTTATACTGTAATATTAATTTTCAGAATATTGATTACATTATTAAATGTGTGTATGCGCCAAGTAAATTTTAATTCTCTATAATATGTATGAAATAATTTTGGAGTGTTCACTGGTGCGGATATTGCTAGTTTTGAAGGTTCATTTATATCATTTCGATATTATAATCAAATATTCATTGGAAAATATTCCATCAATTATACAAAAGCGAATTTAAATTTGATTTCAAGGTGGCAAAACACCCTCAGTTCCAAATGCATCAATATTCTGGTGCAAATTATTCCGAGATTTCAAAGAAGATAAGATAAGATTTATTGGTTCTCTCTTTTATAACAGAGGAACACTCTCGCGCAGGAGAGGTTCGACCCGTACAACAGTTACAAAACAACAACTGACAATATATAAAAATGAATTATTGAAAAGATAAATGAGTAAATAAAAAATACTGGACAAACAAAACAAATGTTACTCTCATTATTCTGTAGTAATTAAGGAATAACTTAATGTACAAAGAAAAAAAAGAGAATTCAATTACAGAATATAAAGTAAATAAATAAATATAAATGACAAAAAATATAAGTTTATAAGTACAGTAAATAATATAAAAATTAAATATTGGTGGTAATGTTTTTCATTAGTTCAGTTCTTTCAGTCATTGCTTTTAATAAATATGTTTTACAATGGTTATCAAATATGTTACACATTTCAATATTCTGGTATGCATCAAAAATATTATCTAAAAGTAAGTGGTGCCTAAATTCACATGAACCTTCTAAGAAAATGTCCCAAAAGTACCCAGTTTTCAAATTTTCAAAACATGCATTTCTTATAGAGGATAGACCTTCACAATCAAATAGAAAATGGTCGACCGTTTCTAATTCTCTTTTTTGCAAATAATATAATGGCCCGAGTGCGTATCTGACCATGCCCGTTTTCTGCCTTCAAGATCTAGAACATTAGTCTAACTTTAAACTTTAAATGTGTACCTTTAAAATTCAGTTTGTCCAAAATGTAGTATTCTAAATTTGGTATATTTTTGTATTTAATGTAATCCTTCAGTGATGATTTTTAGTTGCTTTTTGAAACCATTCTTTATTATTGTTATTTGAGATCATATTACTAAAAGATTTTATCCACTGAGTATTTTGTGGTTCCATATTATATATATCATTTAGATCATATTTGTCTAATAATGCTTTAATGTTATCGATCCATTTCCATCGTGTAAGTGATATAACCTCCATAAGTGATTTACATAGTAGTCTAGGCAATCTATCCTCATCCATAGTTTTAAGCCTATCAAAATATTTTATTCTAAATTTGTTTTGAATCGTTTCCATAGATTGCCACCCTAAGTCACCAAGTAAAGCTTCATGGGCAACATTCCTTGGTGCTTTCAGGATCATTTAAAAAAAAAATTAAAAGAAATTTCCTTTAAAATTCAGATGCCGAGATTTTAAGATTAAAATATTCAGGATCTATAAGGTATTTAAAAAAACTGAGGATATTTATTTAGAATTGTAGTTATTGGCAAGTATGTCAATCGAGTAAAGGTATTTTCTGCGTCCTACCTTTCATTTTTGGCGCGTTTTGAACAACAGTTAAACATATACTGACAACATCTAGACTATCTGGTGCCACTTTGAAGTTGAACGATTCGTTGAATGTTGGTGAATTCGTTTTTCTCACTACCTCTGTTTTCTTCGTTTTTATCACCTTGCGGGCGGCGTTCATCAGGCTAACCTTTACTGATGCGTCTAAATTACAAATAAGATAAAACTTTTGATCATAAATTATTAGGAAAAGCATTAATGAGTATATTTTTGGCAGAAAAAAAAATGTTGAGAGTCAAGCAATCCATCGTTCATGTTACATACTGCCTTCCTATGTTTTAAAAAAGAGGTTTTGTGTATTTTTTTTTTACAGTAACACTTAAATAACACAGAATGCTATGATATGCGTGATGCGATGCAAACTTCTTACTTTGCTAACTGTTTGCTAAATTTTGGAAATAGATTTAGTGTAAAAGACTATATGTCAGGTTATTATCAAATGTTCATGATTATATAGACCTACATACATACACACACTCCCACATATTCCCCTCAATGTTCCCAAGCATATTTTCCCAATTTGTACATAAGTCTTGATTAATTAGGACGATCCTCTTACACCATTTTCAATTTCTCTAACATTATAACAGCAATTAAACTAATTGACATTGGCAGAATTGTGAATACGTACCGACTACTTGGAAGTCTTCCGGGGGTTTAAGACCTTTAGCCTCTATAACTACGACCGTCAACCTCTCCAAGGAATTATTATAATTCAGTGAAAATTGGAGCTCGCCTAATTCTGGAGTTCCCTGCAAAAATGGAAACAATTTTCTAAAAAAAAAAATACTACTAATCTGTACTAAAGGCATGCATAATGCGTTTAGCATCAATTTACTGAATTTGGTTTTTTTCGAGCATAAATGTCTCGCCCAATAAACAATGCACTATTCATATTTCAGCCTTCCAGCTGAAACACAAGCAGAGCAGCAGATGGAATTTAACCTGGTACCAAACGATGGTGGATCTCCGCGATTTCCCTTGCACATAAATTGACTTCAGTTTAGCCAAGATATTGCGCGCCAAAAAAGGAGTTGGACATTCCGTCCTGTAATTCAGAGCCGGTTCGAATTTAGTTACCTATATACTTTTTTTTTTATCGGATTGCTGTGCTGATGTGCCTTAAGCCTCTCTCCTGATGGATGGTGCACAACACATGCTTATTAATGTTATTATCATCAATCTAAACTCATAGGCAGTTACGGTCAGTATAAATCTTCCAAACACTATAACTATGACACTGCAAATTGAAAGTTGTCATTCCATAAAAACATGAGCAATGCAGTTTGTGTTAATGGCTGAAAGTTACCGTTACAATACTAATGGATGTTAAATGTGTGTCTATTGAAACTTACAGCGGTCCTACGTAACACAAGACTACAGTATTAGGGTGCTTTCGATTGCATAACGACGGTAGGACCTAGAACGTAATGACGTCACTAAGAAGTGAACGTTGAGTTCCGTTGTCGCCTATGTTGTGCTGAGAACGTAGGACGTTCACGCATCAGTGAATCCGCTCTAGAGTTATCGAAAGCTTCCTATGTTATTGCATGGTAAATACACTACGATTATGGTAAATACCATAGCGTAAAGTAAATCACGTGATTTTAATAGGCCTATGTACATTTTTATAATTTTAGTGTTTTCTGCAACAACAACAGATAAATATACATTCGAACCAGCAGTTTAACAAATCCCACTCAGTTTGAATTCAATACCGGTAAATGTATAGTTCGCATTGCAAACACGAATAGAAATTAAATTCATAAAAAAATGCTATCCGGACTGCCGTCCATGACTCGTCGATCTGTTTCATCATTATATTATCATCAATCACTAAGGGGATGGGTTATTTGTCTTCCTAATATAAAAAAAATATAACTGCGTTATAAAAAAAAAGAAAATTATGACGCATGTATTGTGTTCCCCATTTATATTAAAATACTGTCTTACTTGAGCTCATAATTCTAACAATACAATTCCTATTATTATTGGCCTATCATAATTTTTAAATCGAAAAAAATAATTCCCTGAAATAATTAACAGTGCTATTTTCTTTGCATTATACACTTAAATTGATTGATAGACGATTTAAGAGAAAACAATTTTTGGGGGGTCAAATTAGCAAAAACTATTTTGATGGTATGTTTATTTAATTATTCAATATTTAAGTTATTTAATTCTTTTTAAATGCACAATTTATGTGTTTTAGTTAAATTTATAAATGCGCTTTCTTTATGTTATAACAGGCAGTATAACAGAAATAATGTTTATGTGAATTCTGAAGTTAACTGAGTTGAATTTTATGGCATTGAAATATTTAATTGTATGATTTTATGATATTATTTATCGAAGTAGATTGCTCTCTTTCTGTCCCTTTTTATTAGTGCTCGGAGATAATTTCATGTTGTATGAAGTGTAATATATATTCTCGAGCATTACCGTTGACGTCTTTACGGGACAGAATGACTCTTCGTGAATTTATTAGACTTTTCTTAACGTTTTCTGTTTGTTTTCTTACTTTAATTTATTGTACCATGTATAGTTGTCTTGCTGGTTATACCGATAAATCTAATTTAATAGTCGAAAATACAACACTTACCTCTGATACCTCTTTTTCTAAATCTAACCACATTACAATTTTCTGATGTGCTTCACAGGCAAGCTCCCTAAGTGCGTACAGCGCATGGCCAATGAGTCTATGCCGCTTCGACCTATCTACATCAAACACTGAAAGTCGTAGGGTTCTCTGCTGCAATGCCTTGTATGTTACCTACATAAATTGTTCCAAATAAAACAGTACGCATGATTAGTTGGATGCTTAATTATTTTAAACTAGTACATTTCAATTTCGTTGTCGGCAATAGGTTCATATTATTAGTCATCAATATTGGATTTAATTCCAGATTCTTTATGTTAGTCGAATTTGGAAGTACAAAGCGGTGAACAATTACAAATTAATGTGTAGCTAACACATCTAAACACAAACACATTATTTTTGAGTTAAATACAGTTATAGTAAACATACATTTAATTAAACAACTACTTGTTAAGTAACGCAAATTAGAACATTGGAAAGGGCATGGTGTTAAAATAAGGCAAAACAAATTTAATATATAAAGGGTTTTTTTAACTACCACCATCAACGTAAGATAATTATTCATTATACACTAATGCAGGACAACATAGCACTACATTACTTCAGATCATGACTATGAAGAATATCAACATAATATTATTTGTTCTAATTATTAATAATTCCGGGCCGGAATGATTTGTCATCATCATCATCATCATCATCATCATCATCATCATCATCATCATCATCATCATCATCATCATCATCAACCTCATCATCATCATCATCATCACTTTCTTAAACTGACCAACGTTGCTTGTTAATCAAACAATCGACTTTCTAAAAATAAGTCTCTGCAACTCATAAGTCATATCATGGACATATCCACTTTCAACCCGTACATTTCGATTTATTGTACGATGCAATGATTTTGTAAACGATGACATTACGTCAAGACGGCGGTTTATGGACTTGGAAATGGACAACAAGCTTTCAATGGCGACACTCATTACTTATATCATAGAGAAAATAGATATGAAGATATTTAAATTTAATCTAGGCATGCAAATCTATACGTAACATTACTAGGCATTAATAATCTACACCCGCCATTGCGACTTATCACTCAGAGCGTGATAAAATGGACCTGGAGTGGAGTGCCAATCAAGCTTAACTGGCCAATCAGAACAGAGCCAGAAATATGCGCGTGTCTGGCAAGACGTATGCGTATGTTTTAACCACTGATCTCTACTATTATATTAGAGACCAGTGGTTTTAACATGGAACCTTAGCAACAATTACCAAGGGGCGGGGCTTAGCGCAACGGTCCATTAGTTTTATAAGTCAATGCTCAGAGTGACTCGCAAGCATGCGTCAACGTCCAATTAATGTTAATTTATATTATGTTTGAAAATTATTTAAAATTGCAATTGCATTTGAAGTGTTTTGTTTAGCCGTCTGGTGCTCCTCGATGAATCTTCTTTTTGGAACAATTGAAGTAGGCCTAGCTGCTTCTTCGTATCAGATTATACTAACTTAAAATTAATGGAAACTCAATCATAACCTAATTTAAATCTGAAGCATGCAAGAAAAGAGTCGCTATTGAGCAGACGTTTTTTTAGGTAAATTAATCTCATAAATATGACATATTTTCTTTACATTTATGAGACTTATTGCAATGGTGAATAGATATTAATTAGAAGATAACAAAATGGTATTGAATAATTCATTCTATAATAAATAAAACACAAATGTCTTTTTAAGGTCTACCATTATTATCACTAATTTATAGCCATAGTCTTCCAAGATACTGAGATATTGATAAACAATATTAAGAATCATTTACCTTTATATAAATACAAAATAAATGTATATTTTAGAATATATACTATAATATTTATTTGTTTATTATATTTTATTTATTTTAATATCTATTTTATTTATTTTGTCTCTAAAGTAAATCTTCAGGAGAATAATCAATTCAACTCAAATAGCAAACTCAATCGAAACGTCGAGATATTCTCAACTAAAAACTATCTACTTAGTGTACAGCAAGCATTAGTATATATTGTTACTTCGCCATGCAAACCTTCCAACAATGTAATGTACGGTAAATCTTATTAACAGGAATTCAAGAAAAATATAATGTATATAAACTTAAATATAAAGTCAATATAATTTGGATGGGTACAAGAAATCAAAACTTGACAATGGAAAAGAGTATAAGTATTATTAGATCTTGATCACATTTTTGAAATTTGTAAACTTGAAAATCATAAACATTCAATTAAATGTGGTCTGGGAGTTCCATGCCTTGTCTGAAGCTCTGTCCAGACTATCAGATTTTATTTGACAAAAACATGTGAAATGCCTAAATATGGTCATGATGACATCACATCATGACCATATATAGGCACATCATAATTAACATATGGGCATGAAACGGCTTTTTGTCAGCATTAATGAGGTTTGATTAATGATTATAATTTCCAAAAGATGAATTTGATACAGTGGGGGCGATTCCTCTAGGCACTTATACATAAACAATAATAGATGTTCCTTCCACCTATAAGTCGAGCTAATTCATCCATCCCAAGTCATTCATTGTGTCATTAATAGGAGTTGTAATGTAATTCTGACAAAATTGTAGCTCATTTAAATAACTAGCTGTAGTGTAAGACCAAATACAGCAACGGTAGTCAAATACACTTATTATAAGTGCATTTGACTAATAAATTATTTTTATAGTTTGTTTAAAAATAAACGGGATCCTTTGAAATCGAGTTTTTGGCAAGAGCTGCAATCACACAGAATCCGAATTTTGGGGTGGGAAAGCCTACCGGAACCGATCAGTAAATGAAATCAGTGTTTAAGAATAGGACAATGCTAGCGTTCACCGCATCGGAAAAATTGTCCGAATTTCGGTTAGTATCCGATTTGAATGCAGCTTTACTGGTTATCATTTTGGATGAATTAAAATGTTATTAAACAAAGTAAATCAGTACCTGAAATACAAAACTTTCATCGAATTTAGGGTTTGTTGTTTTCCTTTTCACTTTCGACTGTAGATGGCGTCTTTCTTCCGGCAAAAGGAAAATCTTAACTAGAGGGTCACACTGGTTGGAGCTTCCGTGAACTCTACTGGGTAAATTCTTGGCTTTAATAAGAGAGACTACGAGGCGCTCGGCCTCAAGTTCATATTCTACTGCAAACCAGATCCGGCCAATATGATTATCAGGGAAGTTCGATTCATCCTCTTCGGTTTCTAACTTATATAATTCCGGATTTATTTCACCGACGTATGCTCCTAAGTTTCGAAAGGAAAAGGAAATAGATTATTTAATAATACGATGAGTGAAACATAAACCGTTTTGGAATTCGACTATAGACTAGACTTAAGCAGCCTTAGCGGCATAACTCTCTGCACCAATTAAACAGAAGAGGAATTAGGTAGGCCTAAAGACAGGAAAAAAAAACCTAGCGGTGGATATATAAATAAATATCGGAAACAAGGTATAAATTATATATATAGGCCTATATATACATAAACATATAAATACATATATAATTTAAAATTAAAGGTGCTACATAGGCAATTTAATAATAAATGAAATATAAGGATATTGGCTGAAACTCTAAACGAGATACATACTTATATTTGTATGCCTGTAAGGGATATATATATATATATATATATATATATATATATATAATGAATAAAAGTAGTTGGCAATACTAGCAACGTACAGTGCTCGATACACGTGGTAATGCAGAGGGTAAATATTGTAGAG